GTATTCTGATCCAGCGATCCGAACCGGCATGTCTCAGTCGAATCACCTAAGAGGAACCAATTGAAACCAACACAAGCAATGCGAACCAAGACTATCCACAAAACATGACCTTGAAAACGATTCTTCTTCCAAACTACTTGGCCGTTTGCATGTTTTCCTTGTCAGATCTTTTTTCCGACCGTCTCGAGGGATTGCGACACGCACCAGATATTCTTTTTCACACACAGAAGGCTTCAAAGCGACCGAAGAATTTCTAGATCTGGCATGATTTGTCGTTTTTTCTCCAAACCGTTTGAAATGAAAGACCCAGAATGACATCGAACAACAATACCCTGCTCAATCATACTTGTTGGTGCATTGGAGTTGCACATTTGGCTGGGTGAGTTTGTTGATGTTTATTTCAAGGTTGCTTGACCATGAAATGGAACGAATCCGAATCAGAGGTTGTGTATTCTGATCCAGCGATCCGAACCGGCATGTCTCAGTCGAATCACCTAAGAGGAACCAATTGAAACCAACACAAGCAATGCGAACCAAGACTATCCACAAAACATGACCTTGAAAACGATTCTTCTTCCAAACTACTTGGCCGTTTGCATGTTTTCCTTGTCAGATCTTTTTTCCGACCGTCTCGAGGGATTGCGACACGCACCAGATATTCTTTTTCACACACAGAAGGCTTCAAAGCGACCGAAGAATTTCTAGATCTGGCATGATTTGTCGTTTTTTCTCCAAACCGTTTGAAATGAAAGACCCAGAATGACATCGAACAACAATACCCTGCTCAATCATACTTGTTGGTGCATTGGAGTTGCACATTTGGCTGGGTGAGTTTGTTGATGTTTATTTCAAGGTTGCTTGACCATGAAATGGAACGAATCCGAATCAGAGGTTGTGTATTCTGATCCAGCGATCCGAACCGGCATGTCTCAGTCGAATCACCTAAGAGGAACCAATTGAAACCAACACAAGCAATGCGAACCAAGACTATCCACAAAACATGACCTTGAAAACGATTCTTCTTCCAAACTACTTGGCCGTTTGCATGTTTTCCTTGTCAGATCTTTTTTCCGACCGTCTCGAGGGATTGCGACACGCACCAGATATTCTTTTTCACACACAGAAGGCTTCAAAGCGACCGAAGAATTTCTAGATCTGGCATGATTTGTCGTTTTTTCTCCAAACCGTTTGAAATGAAAGACCCAGAATGACATCGAACAACAATACCCTGCTCAATCATACTTGTTGGTGCATTGGAGTTGCACATTTGGCTGGGTGAGTTTGTTGATGTTTATTTCAAGGTTGCTTGACCATGAAATGGAACGAATCCGAATCAGAGGTTGTGTATTCTGATCCAGCGATCCGAACCGGCATGTCTCAGTCGAATCACCTAAGAGGAACCAATTGAAACCAACACAAGCAATGCGAACCAAGACTATCCACAAAACATGACCTTGAAAACGATTCTTCTTCCAAACTACTTGGCCGTTTGCATGTTTTCCTTGTCAGATCTTTTTTCCGACCGTCTCGAGGGATTGCGACACGCACCAGATATTCTTTTTCACACACAGAAGGCTTCAAAGCGACCGAAGAATTTCTAGATCTGGCATGATTTGTCGTTTTTTCTCCAAACCGTTTGAAATGAAAGACCCAGAATGACATCGAACAACAATACCCTGCTCAATCATACTTGTTGGTGCATTGGAGTTGCACATTTGGCTGGGTGAGTTTGTTGATGTTTATTTCAAGGTTGCTTGACCATGAAATGGAACGAATCCGAATCAGAGGTTGTGTATTCTGATCCAGCGATCCGAACCGGCATGTCTCAGTCGAATCACCTAAGAGGAACCAATTGAAACCAACACAAGCAATGCGAACCAAGACTATCCACAAAACATGACCTTGAAAACGATTCTTCTTCCAAACTACTTGGCCGTTTGCATGTTTTCCTTGTCAGATCTTTTTTCCGACCGTCTCGAGGGATTGCGACACGCACCAGATATTCTTTTTCACACACAGAAGGCTTCAAAGCGACCGAAGAATTTCTAGATCTGGCATGATTTGTCGTTTTTTCTCCAAACCGTTTGAAATGAAAGACCCAGAATGACATCGAACAACAATACCCTGCTCAATCATACTTGTTGGTGCATTGGAGTTGCACATTTGGCTGGGTGAGTTTGTTGATGTTTATTTCAAGGTTGCTTGACCATGAAATGGAACGAATCCGAATCAGAGGTTGTGTATTCTGATCCAGCGATCCGAACCGGCATGTCTCAGTCGAATCACCTAAGAGGAACCAATTGAAACCAACACAAGCAATGCGAACCAAGACTATCCACAAAACATGACCTTGAAAACGATTCTTCTTCCAAACTACTTGGCCGTTTGCATGTTTTCCTTGTCAGATCTTTTTTCCGACCGTCTCGAGGGATTGCGACACGCACCAGATATTCTTTTTCACACACAGAAGGCTTCAAAGCGACCGAAGAATTTCTAGATCTGGCATGATTTGTCGTTTTTTCTCCAAACCGTTTGAAATGAAAGACCCAGAATGACATCGAACAACAATACCCTGCTCAATCATACTTGTTGGTGCATTGGAGTTGCACATTTGGCTGGGTGAGTTTGTTGATGTTTATTTCAAGGTTGTTTGACCATCAAATGGAACGAATCCGAATCAGAGGTTGTTTTTTCTGATCCAGCGATCGACATGTCTCAGTCCAATGGTTGTCTATTCTGATCCAGCGATCGACATGTCTCAGTCCAATCACCTTAGACGTAGAGAGCGGGGGGGGGGTGGGGGGCGTCAGGCTGTCGAAAAATCCGCGCGGAGATACAAACCGTAGGTTGAAACCAACACAAGCAATACTAACCAAAACAATCCACAAAACACGCCGGCAGGCCGGCGGACTTCACAGTCAGCTTAGCTCTAAGATGGTTTTGAAGTAGATGGACCATGGAACACTTCCCAAACATGGCCATTTCTCTATTGGTTTTGGACTATCCCACTCAAGTGTGGCTTCCTTTCAGCGCTTCTTGTTTGCAAGTGCTTCGCTTAATTTGACTTGGGCCATGGAAGATGCGACGTTGTATGCTCGTGGACCCACTCACCCGGGGACTTGTATGTGCCAGGATGACGTGCACAAGCTTCAGCATGCCAGTCCCATTTCAGATCTGCGTCTGCCAAGTCCTTAGCACCAGAGGACATGACATGAGAGTGAGTCAGAACCCCCAGGTCACCAGGCTTTTGTGGTTTTGTTCATTTCGTGGTCAAGAGTCTAGACACCCCCAGAGCTCGACGGTTTCTCTCCTCAGAGCAATGCTGATCCGGCGAGCGACGGCATGAGCCGGTCCTTTTTCCTTTTGTTTGCTCGTCGTTTTTTGGGAGGGGAGGAGATGCATGTCCTGCAAATGATGTCCTGCGTATGGGAGAAACATGTCCGGGCTTAAGTCCTGCAAGAGCATGGATCATTACCATGTCTACAATGTTGAGCTGATGTTACTATGCTGGCGAAGCGGAATCATTGTGAAGACAAAAGAGAATTGGATGAATTCTGCAACCATTGGCTTAGAGCGGCCCTGTTGGTTGAGAAGCAAAGGGACTGGGGGCAAATCATGATGACGCCCAATACTCTGTGCGAACACATATGAACACATACATATGGACACATTGCCTTAGCAGGAATCCATACTGGGAATCCAGAATGGTCTGGCTGTTGAAGCAAACACCTTGCAGCCACAGAATCTCCAGAAGCCTCGTCATATTCGTTGCTGTTTAGCTCAAGACCCCCGCGCGCTGAGGTGGATGCTGACTGGCTTGTTGATTGTACTGGAAACTTGGCAGGTTATCAATATGCGTTCAATGACAAAGTTGCCGTTTACCGCACTGTTCTTGCAGATAGCATCATTGTAAGGGTTGACTTGATCTCCTTCCCAACATGTTCATTGGAGATGCGGAATCCAAAATTCCCAGCACAGCTTTGAGTCAACCCTTACTGCCTTGAACTGCGGTGGATTGATAACAACTTTGACCTCTTCCCAGTTGTGTGTCCTTGTGGGCATCCTCTACTGGTTTGAGCAGCGCAACCTGGCCAAAATGGAATGGAAGAAGTGATCGGCCGCATGGCCCTGCATGGCTAATTAATGCTCACGTTTCAAGCACTGGGGGTTCATTCCTGCGAAAGAGCTCCAGGGAGTTGGCAGGTTCGGAGTTGTGCTAATGGACCTTCAAGAAAACAAAGGATGCACCTTCCGGTGCAAAGCTCTTCGTTCCGAAAACGATGCCGTGGCAGTACCAAGTGGCACTTGGTCAAAAGGGCTTGCCATCTCCAATGCTTTTGAAATGACGTTGCTTGTGACCCGGAGGCAACTGGGTGCATGTTGCAAGGACTTTAGAGCTTCTTTTCGAATCCTCATAATACGTATGTCAACCAGTTTCTGGCACACGCTCGTTTCACGTCGAATTTCTGGTGAGACAATCACCGTGGTTCCTGCTTGGGCTAGCCAAGAGCTCTCCCCAGCTGGGGAAATCAAACATCTTCCAAGTGACATCCACCTGATCCATCAAAAAAAAAGTCAAGAAACTCTGGTGACATTAGGTGGCGTTACAGATTTGTGCTTGTGCGAAGTCACTGAAAAGCCACAGATTTCCTCGTCGCCCTTGCTCTCGATTAAAGACCTGGCAAGCGTTGCCGCAGAACTTGAGAAAAGTCTTGCAAGTCCTGATCAGGATCAGAGTCAAGTCGCAACACATACAGGTCTTTTGCTTTGTGCACGTCCCCAAAGAGAACAGCTGGGCTTTGCCAGATTTGAATAGACATCTCGGTGTTGGGCAGCACTACCCTAATAGCGTCCGATCGCTCCTAGTAGCGATGCCCTTTGCTCCTAGTAGCTTCGTGTTCCTAGTAGCGATGCCAGGAGCCCCTAGTAGCATCTAGTAGCGTCCTTGCTCCTATTTCAATTGAATCTTGCCGATTCTTGGAGATTCTGGTTGGTGGCAGGATTTTCCGGACGAGGCCAAGATGGAGCTTGTCAAATGCTTCTATCCCTCGTTCTATGGGCCTGACGTGTCTCGGCTATTCAGAGTATTTGAGAGATATGTTTTCAGTTTGCCTGGTTGTGTTGGGTTGTCAAGCTGTATGGTGGTCGGTGAGTGAATCTGGGTACATGGACTTGGGCATGGTTTTCAATAGCAAGCTGCCCAGGAAGCCATCATGCTGCGGAAGGCTGCGACGGGCTTGACGTCCAACCCTTGCTTTTTGTGATCTCTCTCATCCCGCAGCGATGCCTGCGAATGTTCATGGCCTTGGCGTGACGTCATGGCCTTGTGGTGACTGCCTATACTGTCCTTGTCAGGCTGTCTTGGTGATCCAAAAGGGCATCATGGGAATCAGGCTCAACCTTCTCGTGTGCGGTTGGAGGAATGTGGTGCCGGTAGGCCGGTAGGCGACCTTTTCCAAGCTTTTGTACTTTCAATCATAGCCTCCCTGCAGGTTTTAATGACAACCAGCAACCAGCAACAACTCTTTTTTTTTCAATAGAACACTCACCACGGAAGATAGCTTCAGCTAGCTGGTGTTGCTCTTGCTTTAGCAAGTTATTGGCATGAGGATGGAATCGACTACCCAGTGAATTATCCACTGCTAGACCTCCCCCCACGGGTTCAACTCCCCTCTTGGACATGTCAGATTTTAGGAGCATAATAGTTCTGATAGCTTCCGTTTTGAGACCATTATGTGCGACTGGGACCATTCGTCTGCGTGAACAGAACCACGGTGTTTCGAGTGACTTCCGAAGGCCGAAGGCCTGCTTTTTGTATTTTGCAGTCACAGACCTCTGAAAGCTCATTCAAGAACACGATCGGACACCAATTTCCCTTTGCATACGACGTTTGCCAACGACCTGGTGCTCAGGGGCCGTGTGTTGAGGCTGGACGCCCAGCGATCGAAGGTCCGGTCGAAGCTCGGGACAAACGTCGAAAACCGAGGCGTGGAGATGTGATTGGCCTGGAGAGCATCCTGCTGGAGACCAATAGTCTGGTGGAGACCTCTCAGCCCAGGAGAGGCACTAGGGTGGTTTTGGAAGTAGTACAATTATGTATAATTCGAGTATACAGTAATTGCCCGTAGTTTTTTTCTTTTTTAAACATTTTTTGTTTGGTTTTATGTTTCGATGGTTTCCATCGCTGTTCGATCGCTGTGATTCAAAATTCGGAGATATGAAGGCTGGTTTGACCTTTGGAGAAGAGAATTTGGGTAGCCCGAAGGGTCGAAACACGAAGGGTCGCGGCCCAGGACCTTATCTTACTGCTTCGTCTGAAGCTGAATGATGTGCGAAACAAATTGAGTGTATTCTTTGTCTTTATGTCTTGCAAGAAGATCCTGCTTCAATGATTCGCACTGATCGCGGATTAGGTCGAAGGTTCTTCGTTTTTAGGTCATGATGCTGATGCGCGACGATTTGCTAGAAGTTGCTCGCAACTTTGAAGAGGTGGACGGGCAGTTGAGGACCGGCGCCAGAGATTGTCAAGTGTCAATGGCACGCAATGCCATGCAATGCTGCCTGGGATGCCTTCACCTGAGGAGAGCTCAGATCCGAGCCGCAGTTCGACGGGCCTTCCTCACATCAGCCGCTCAAGTGAAGCTACACCGGAAGGCGGCTGAGGCACAGATCTCTTTCCGCGCTGTGAGTTTTCATCCATCATAAGGTCTTTTCAGGGGTTGGAAGATGGATGAAGATGGGTAGGATTCCTGAAGTCATTCCAAAGAATTCACTACAGCACGAGTGAAGCTGGTTGACGTTGCCTCTTTGCTGGAGGAGGATGGACACTTGCCCCACATACAAAGGCGACCTGCGAAGGGTCTTTGCAAGCAAAGACGATATACAAACATCGGTCACTCAATCCATCAACAGCCTTCCAATCTAAGGATGTTTAAGGACTTTGAACTTTGAACGACCTGTTTTTGTTTGATTTGTTTCTTGATCTCAGTGTTCAAAGATATGAGTTGACTGTGACAATGTGTCCCGGCATAGCTGGGGCCTTCGGCATGTCGACTCTGCCCTCTCAGGACCTTCACCCAAAATCAAGCAACATTCTCTCACGCTCAGCCGATGCATCTAACGAGGCGGGGTGCCAGGTGCTCCACTGCATTCAGCTCCGGATCGTGCCTGGAGGGCTGGTGGAAAACGACGTGGGACGTTGGGAGGAAATACATCCACCGATGGCTGTTGGTCCATCCACCGATGGCTGTTGTAGGAAATATGGTCTACCCAACATAAATCCATGCAGAATCAGTGCCTCCAGGCACACTTCTGGCAGGTCATTGACCTCGCATGCAGCACCTGTGGCGATTTCACCGACAGGAGGAGTAGCAATCCAGAGATGTTCCCCAGGAATTGGATTCGGTTTTCGGGATTTGGCCTTCGCGAATTCATGTTTCGGCTTTGGTTAGGTTTGGTCGGCTTTGGCTTGTTTAGGGTTTGGTTGGTAGGCTGGCTGGTTTAAGGTTTCGTTTGTTTAGGGCTTGGTTTGGTGGGCTAGGCTTTGGTTTAATTGGGGTTTGGTTTGGCTGGCCTGGCTTCGGCTTGTTTACGCTCACGGCGACATTAGGAACCCCATCGGGGTTTGTCATTTTTACGTTTGACCCCCCATGATCATTGGTTCGTATGGGGTTGGGGGTCGGGGGCAATGACGTTTTAAACATTGTTTGTCCGATCGCACCACAGCTCCATGAGGGAGTTGTGTCTAAACAGTTTGGTTTCTCTTTGTTTAGTGTTGTTGCTAAGACTTTCTCAATCAAAACATTGCTTTTCGTTTCCGGATCCCCTCAAACTTTTTTTGTGCAGATGCGTCGATGATTCATGCCAAATGGCGTTTTGGAAACGCTTGCAATCGCCCAAGAAAGGTCAAACGAAGCGAGCCGGCGAGAAGCTGTTGGATAGAAGGTGGGTTGTTTTGAAACCATATTTTCCCAAAACCTTGACGACGAAGTGAGACTGCCAACTGAACATCTGAACGTGCGCAAGCTCTACAGTAAAGAGTTGGCAGTCCAGAAACACGTTGACGACGGCCAGTAAGCTTTGTTTGCGGCTAGGTGGGCTTGGCTTCGGCTGGTTTAGGGTTTGGCTTGTAGGGTGTGGTGTTGGCTCTGTTTTTCTGGAGCACCTAGCTTATAGGGTGTGGTGTTTGCGTTCCTTTTGGAGCCCCTAGTAGCGTCCTTGCTCCTAGTAGTAAGGCCAGGAGCCCCTAGTAGCTTCTTGTTCCTAGTAGCGATGCCAGGAGCCCCTAGTAGCGTCCTTGTTCCTAGTAGAGCACCTAGCTTGTCACTGACGGGTCCGGGATCGGCTGTTGGCGGTCTTCGGGCCGTGTCCGGCGGGCTGATCTCTGGGTCACGTCTCGACAGGAGACTCCGCGGCAACAGCTCCAGCTCCCTTGGCTTCTTGAATGCAATTAATTGAGGTTCCCCTTGCTGCATCTTGCTTTGAAGCTAGCCATGGCTAGTTCTTCCAGGAGTCAGTCATGAATTTTTGCAAAGCGTGCAGCAAATCTGAGGCTAGCGCACTAACCAGAGGGCGGTTCTCACGCGTTGGAAGCAGCTTGGAGGCCATTGTGATGTCTTGGAGGGTCAGGAAATGTGTGACCAATCAGGAGACCAATCTCCAAACTCATTTTTGTGGTCTGCGCCCAGGATTGACAAATGCTACACAGTGTCAGTGTATGATCCCAACTCCATCCATCCATCCATCCATCCATCCATCCATCCATCCATCCATCC